AAATCCTTCGTCTGACCATTGGTATGTTTGCTCTTCAAGGCAAAAACAAATTGAAGTTTAACAAGACAATCTATTAATATTGATATTGCTGACACCATTCATTTAAACTACAAACAAATTGGATGACCAATCTGTAGTTGACGATGATGTACATGCTCGGTCAGATCATGATGAGGGAATTACATATGATGAATCCATATCTTTATGTATGAATTTTCAATTTTGGATACTATTACACATGTTTTTGTTAATTTATATGATATTACATAAGTCTTGAAAAAAATTTAATGTTGTTATTTATTTTGACAGATATATGGCTGATCATCCACATATTAGGGGATGAGGCTTCCCCAACCTAGATCCACTAGAGGACCCACTAGATGAACAACTATTTGATCAGGAAAAATAGTGGTGAAAGAAACTCCGGTGAATGTGATGTTCCATACGGATATTGTAAATCTTGAAAGAAGTTGTTTTTGATGATGCTGCAAGAAGTTTTTAGTTGAAGAAGAATTAGAATTATTAAAAGCAATTTGTATAAATAAAATGTATTAAGGAATTTTGTAACTTTGTAAACTTGCATTTTTACTGCAATAATCGATTATGGAATGGCAATAATCGATTATCACAGAGTCATACCAGGAATAATTCATTATCACACATCATATAATCGATTATCATATTTTGAAAAACCCTGTAACCGGACTGATAATCGATTATCACTTTTGAATAATCGATTATCATGGCGTTGGTAGATGTCTTTTCATTTTTTTGCCCTGCAAAACGAAAACTAGGAGCTTATAAATAGAGGTCTTAACAAGCTCTAGAATGAACTTTTCATTGAGATATTGAGCTTGTGCCTAAGGGAATCTCTCTGTGAGTAAAGATCTACCAGTTTGAGAATACAGTTTTGTCTGAGGAAGTTTCTCAAAGTGATAGAGTGGCTCTTGCCGGTCTTGTGAATAGAAGAAGCTTCGCGTTTTTGTGTGTCCAAGGCGGATCCGGTTCTCTTCAAGTTGGCTGAAGCAGGTTCTTCCGTTCGTTTGGGTCGAAGGAAGGTGTTTTTCTATTCTTTCTTATTTTTGATTATGCTGATTGTAATCTGCCACTATATTTTTAGTGAAAAAGGTTTAATCGTTATTTATAGGATTAACGACTGACGTAGAATCTTTTGATTCGAACCGGGGGGATAAAAATTTTGGTTGTTTTCTTAATCCCTAAACTCGAGCAACTATTTTAACTTGTGTTGTGATCGTTACACGTTTTCCGCTATCCTATTTTATCCGCTGCACGAACTCTATAACGGTACCGATTGTCCAACAAGTGGTAGCAGAAAAAGCTGCTTTGATAGTTTTTTTTTCAAATTTTTCGAAAATGGGCGGGCATAACCAAGTTTCGGCGAGGGCGCTTCTATTGATAGACCCCTCCTTTGTTTTAACGGGCAACATAAATTGCGTTTTGGAAAATAGAATGCAATATTTTTGGAGTCTATTGACAGGGGTATTTGGGAAGTTGTTATGAATGGACCAATTGTTCCCTCTATTTTAGTAAATGATATGCAGGTAAAAACCCATTTTTACAGTGGACTAATGGATGAAATAGAAATGGCAAAATATGATGTAGGGCTAGGAACATAATTTTATCTGCACTAACCCTATGATTTTTTCAAAGTTTCTGTTTATGAAAGTGCTCAGGAAATGTGGGGGAATTTTTAAAGATTGTTACGCATGATAAAGTCACATATGTTGTTAATTGGACGTGTCCTGAGTCAATCAAGCTCCTCAGCTCAAGCAATTCTAATGAGCAAGAAATCTAGCTTGATGGCCACATAAATCATCCTGAACAAACGCAAATCTTGAGGAAAGAAGGACTATCACGGTTCCCTCCTCAAGCTCAAATGTATGAATGTGGGAAGAGGCCATGTGAAAGCCTATTGTTCAAGCAACAAAAGAAGTAAAGAAAGAAAAGAAAAGAAAATTCACAAGAAGAAGGTTCACATTGCTTGGGAGGATAATGCATCAACCACCTCTAGTTAAGTAATTCTATTTAAAAACAAACTTATGTTTGACAGTAATGTTGATGACACTGCAGCCAGTAAGTTTGTTCATAATTCGGAATCTAGTGAATTTGAGTTGGTCAAAAAGCTTTTCTTGATTGCTTGATGAATCTAAAAATTGGGAATTTGCTCATAAAAATTTGAAAAAGGAATTTTAAAGAATTGCGAAATTAAATTGAGAAGGCATTAGATAGGAAGTAAGTTTTTAGAAATAAAATTTGCAACTTGGAAATGAAAAGAGTCTTCAATGTTGAAATCCTGTTGACTGTCTTTCATGTAAAGTCATCTGCTTGATATTGAAATTCTTGAAATCTTCTTGCAGTTGCAACTGGAAAATAATAATGTTGAATTCCTATAATTGTTAGAAAGGTTTTATAAAAACAAAAGTGTTTTTAAAAGTAAGAACAAATTTAAAAGAACACGTAGGGGTATGGGTTTGAAAAGGAACTATGTCTTATAGAAACCCAAATGTTGTCACTGCTTTATGTATGAAAAGTGGGCACACGTCTAACAAATGTAGAATTAAACTTTTAATGTTCCAATGAAACTATGCTTGATTACTGTTATAAAGTAAATGTCTCTAACCCCAAAGGATCCAAATTAGATTAGGGGACCAAACGCCTATTGTTTTGTTTTGCGGTTAATTTTTTTTTTTTCAAAGGAAAAGAAGACTCTATGGTATCCTGGTATTTTGTTAAGAGCTTTGAAATAATTTATGAATGTTAGATGTGTCTTGTTAAGTTGAAATTTGGGCCTCATTTGTGTTTTTTTTCTTTATCGGAAATTAACGTAAATAATCGATTACCAAGGGTATATCGATTATCTCGGCTCAAAATTTGGATTTTGGCAATTTGGCTCGCAAATAATCGATTATTTAAAGTAATAATCGATTATCTTAAGTCACAGCGTAAAAAAAAAAAATTTAAAAAAAAAAATTTTTTTGAGTCTGTTTTTAAAAGGGGATTATTACATTCAGGGGAAAGTATATGAGTTTGTTAGATATCTTGGTTTTATCTCTATTATGGATTAATTGATATTGTTTGTACTTCTTAATTAGAGTTGAATTTCTGTTTTTCTTATATTCCAAGAGGTATTCTGTTCTTTCATGTTATGAAATTTCAATTTTCTTTTTGTTTTTAAATGCATCAATTCTTTTGTTGAGGGGGAGAAAAGTTTGAGGGGGAGTTTTTTTCCACTTTTTTTTACTTTTTGCTTATGATAAAAAAGGGGGAGAAAACTTCTAATTTTAGTAGTGCAATTATACTAAACATGTTTGTAAGTATGCAATCTGTGCAGGAAATTAGAAATGCTTTTAACAAATTGAATTTTTGATCATCATCAAAAAGGGGGAGATTGTTACCAATAAGGAGTATTGGTAAATCTTGAATAATTTTTTGATGATGCTGCAAGAATTTAGTGAAAAGATTTTGGAATAGTTAAAAGGCAATTTGTAGAAATTAAATGTAAGTAGGGAGTCTTGTAACTTTGTAAACTTTAATTTTTAAAAACGCAAAAATCGATTTGGATGGGGCATAATCGATTATCACAGAGCCATACAGGAATATCGATTATCACATCATATAATCGATTATCAATAATTTTGAAACCCTGTACGATTTGAATAATCGATTTCACCACTTTTGCTAATCGATTATCATGTCCTTGGGAGATGTCTTTTGTCTTTTCAGTTTTTGACCCTGCACGACCTGGGCTTATAATAGAGGTCTTCACAAAGAGAGAAATCCCCGCCAGCTCTTAGAATGAACTTTTCAATTGAGAGTATTAGAGCTTTGTGCCTAAGGGAAGCTCTCTGTGAGTGAAAAAGGATCTATGCATTGTGAGAATACATGTTTGTCTGAGGAAGTTTCACGTGATAGATGCTCTTGCCTGGTCTTGTGAATAGGAGAAGCTCGCGTTTTTGTGTGTCAAGGTCGGAGCGGTTCTCTTCAGTTGGCTAGCAGTTCTTCCTTTCGTTTGTCGAAGGAATGTGTTTTCTATTCTTTTCTTATTTTGATTATCTGATTGTAAATCTTCAACTAGATTTTTAGTGAAAAAGGTTAATCGTTATTTATAGTGATTAACGACTGGGGACGGAGAATCTTTTTTGATTCGAACCAGGATAAAAATTGTGTTGATTTTCTAATCCTAAACTCTTAGCAGCATATTTTTACTTGTGTTGTGATCGTTACACGCTTTCCGCTATCTATATTTATTCCGCTGCGCGAACACTATAACGGTAAACCGATAGTTTCCTAATGTGAATGTCCCCACCGGGTGTGGCAACGCCCCATGCAGATACTTCCGATCATATCTTGAGTGGTGGCAAGTGATAAGATTATCATTTCATTCCACTGTGAATCATGTGTCCGAGGTTGATCGGAACATTTTGGAAAGATTATATTGGTAAGTGTAGTTAATAGCATGATTAAAATTTGTTTTTATATGATATTGTGTATAATACAAACTTTATATGTTTTTTTCAGTGACATTTGACATTTTCCAATGTCACAACCCTTAGAAATAAGTGTTTTTGTCCAACTGGTGCAGAAAATTTCAGAAACTTTAAAAGCAAGTTGACATCAATACATCTTTGGACCCTAAACATAAAAGTTCCATGTAGTTCATATACGTCCAATTGATGGAGACTTGGCGGCTTTTTAAAGAGAGTCGGATGTCAGGGAATGGCAGGTTAGGTAGTTCAATATTATTCATTCCTCATTAACAAATTCTATATCATATGACCTAATTAATTAATGTGTATGTGCAGGGCAATTAGAATGCAAGCACAAAGGAACAAGTGCTCACAACAAAAACCCCCCACCATATCTCGTGGTGGGTATCGGAAGCTTGATTAGAAAATCCTCAAGCAAAAGGCAGATGCTATACCACAGCTCAGGGTGGTAGCCCTCTCACCGCCTCCTTCCTCCACCGCTAGACATGATAAATGGGAAGTTGGCCTGATGGAAAACGGATTGGCTGTCGGGTGGAGGAACAAATCCAACCACGCTCAACCTCTAACTTGGAACCTAGAAGAAACCCAGCAATGGAAGGGTGCTTCACAATGCAGCGGAATGTTGTGAAGATTGACGTAGGAAACAAAAAGTAAGTTGAAATTGAAACAGGGTTCGGTGAAGGAGAAACTGAAGAACAATTTCAAAAGTGGGTGTTCTGTGAATTGGGAGTGAAATTGAGGCACGAGATTTGGGTGCTGAAATGTGATGCGGATGGTTGGAAGATTTGCTGTAATGGACCTAGCTAGGGAGAGAGGCTAGAGAAACTCTCAAGCTCTCGCTCGTGGACCTTCATGAATGAAGAATTGTTTTCTGGAAATGGAGGCAGAGATTTGGGTGCTGAAATGTGATGCGGATGGGTGAGATTTGCTAGTAATGGAGCCTAGGCTAGTAATGGAGCCTAGCTAGGGAGAGAGGCTAGAGGAAACTCTCAAGCTCTCTCTCGGTGACCCTCAATAAGAAGAAAGTTCTGGACAGCATCACAAGCAAAACTTCAGAAAAAAAAAGAATTCATTCAATTAAGGTCACCGAGAGAGAGCTTGAGATTTCGTTAGCCTCTCTCCCTAGCTATGCTCCATAACTAGCATCTCCACCCCTCCGCAATCACATTTCCGCAACCCAAATCTCGTGCCTCCATTTCACTTCCCATTCCCAGAACACCACTGTTTGAAATTGTCTTCAGTTTCTCCTTCCCGAACCACTGTTTTTCATTCAAATTACGTTTCTGTTTCCTCCAGTCTCTTCAACCCATTCCGCTGCATTCCGAAGCACCTCTTCCATTGCTGGTGCTTTCTATGGTCCAAGTTAGAGGTGAGCTTGGTTGATTTGTCCTCCACCCGAATCAGCCAATCCCGTTCTTCCCTCATGGCCCGTATGCGACCTCGGGCACTACTCTTCCGACATTGGAACGAGAGATTTTGAAAGAATTGGATTATCACTGTTCCTTCTTCCTAAATAATAAGTATTGTCATTATACTACTACATTAAACTGATTAAAGAATAATGGTGTTTTTGTAATGTTACAACAGGACGCCTTGGTTGAGCAGAGCTCCCAAGGCCAATTCACTCCAGAGGGTCGCCAGGATATTCTTGCTGCTGCAATTGGACGACCTGAGCACCCTGGACGTGTACGTGCTGCAGGTCCTGGAGTAGGAATTACGGATTATTTTGGGAGCTCTTCTCGTCAGCCTTCATATTCGTACAGCGATACACAAAGGATGACAGAAGAGATCACAAAAAAGGTCCGACAAGACCTTATGCAGGAGATCAGGGCCGAGGTGAGGGCTGAATTCCAGATGCTCTACCAGGAGCAGTTTCAGAGCATGCGCCCGATGCAGTCTCCTATAGAGGAACATGTGGTCCCTCCCCCTCCCACAGGTAAACTTAATAAACATTTATGTGCAATTATTTCTATCTCTTGTATAATCTAACATTTACTCTGACAGGGAGAAGCGGCAAAGGAAGTTGTTCCGCATCAGCCATCCCAGAGGATGACATGGACGATGGTAGTCCATGTCTGCTATACATTTTAGAAGAAGATGAGATGGTGCTGGTAGCTCGTGGAACAGAGTTTAGGTCAGCGACTGTATGTCATGGTATGCAACTATTAGAGGATGAGGTGAAGGTCTCAGTGGATGAAATGATCATGCCAGATGCCTCGGTTCCACTGTCCACGGAAGAGATTTTCACTGTGGAACAAGCATATAAGTCGTTTATCACTTGGCCTAAATTTTTGGTTAAACCAGTTTCTGACCCCTCGGTATGAAATTCTTCTTTACACTTCTCAATTTTAAAGGTTTTTGATGTCAAAACTTATCTTATCTTTTCATGTAACAACAGACGCAGGAACAACAGAAGATTCCTCTATCTGTAAATGTTTTTATATGCAGGTCTGTTTTTGTGGTAGTGGATATCACAAAAACAGACCTGCAATTTTAAAAAACTGCAGGGGAATATGTCGCGGTTCTAACCACAACCGCGGCATATAGTGCTTCGTTTTTTTTTTAAAAACGAGACATATGGCCGCGGTTTTGACACTAACCGCGGCATACTAGTCGGCCTATATGCCGCGGTTGAACCGCGGCATATAGTGCATTTTTTAATTTTTTTTTTAATTTTTTTTTTAAAAAAAATGAATTTAGGCAGCGGTTCCCTAGACAACCGCGGCATATTCCGCAGCCTATATACCGCGGTTCGAACCGCGGCATAAAGTGTCTGACTTACTACCGCGGCTGAATATGCCGCGGTTCAAGAACCGCGACGTATAGTGAAAATCAACCGCGGTAAAAGTCCCTCGCTGCACTAGTGATAAAAAAGATATAATAAGTCTGTTTTTTATTAGTATATCTTGATTAATAACGAAACTCTTTTACTTTTAGAAAGGAATTTATGTTTTTTTTTAAATTATTATAAGGGACTAAAATGTCGAAAACTTATAAAAAATGTATTGGTACTTATCTCGGTTTCTTGATTTAATAGCTTATCAAATTGCTGTATTTTCAAATTTGTTAAATCTTCATTATGTTTTGTATTTTATGTGTTCCAACTCTATAAATATATTTCTCTTGATAATATAAATACTAAAAAATGTGAAACAATTATCTGACAAGGATTTTTCCTTATTAAAATAATTTGAAATTGTTACAGAAGAATTGAAGTACAAGATAAAAGCCCGTTACCAAAATTATAAGTGAATTTTATAAAATTCTCACTTTTATTTAAGATAATTTGTGATTATTTTCTTAATTACGGAGGAATTAAACTAGTGACATTAGGTGGCTAATTATGAACCAAGTTTATACTCTTTAATGAAAAAATTATAAATATAAAAAGTAAAATCATTATAAATAAGTAAAGATGATATTCTTTCCGGGGCATTCGTGTCGCTTTATCACTAGTTCTCGTACTCAAGGCAAATAGTGAGAATTTTGGAAGTAGTTTAATTAATATTTTTATAACTAAAATTTCTCTATAATAATGAGAAATTGTACCCAAGCAAAAGTATAACTTTTCAATCACTTATGTTCTTTGGATAAAACAATTTTGGTGATTCAATTAGCCAATTGGAGTACAATGTATCCAACTAGACTTTTTGAAGATAACTTGTCAGAGTTATTGAAAAAATCTTTTTAATGGACTTTTAAATTTTAGAAATGGATGTTAAAATAGACAATGTATACATCCACTCATTCTAGGAAATCCTTTAATAAAAATAGCAAGAACCAATATTAATTTACATGCTAGAATATTCACCATGAAACTTAAAGAAATTTAACAATGAACTTTGAGTAAAGTTTAATTAAATTTAAGGTTTAATGTCTCGGTAGGTCCCTATTTTCGGCGTGAATCTCAAATAGGTCCCTTTTCTTTTCGGCGTCTCAATTGGATCACCATTTTTGTAAAATTGTAACAATTAGGGGTCTGCCGTCAAATTGGACAAACGACCGTTTAATTGTTGCTTACGTGTCAGATGGGAATCATGCCACGTGTCATTACTGAAAACACTGTTCATGCCACGTAAGAAACAATTAAACGGCCGTTTGTCCAATTTGACGGCAGACCCCTAATTGTTACAATTTTACAAAAATGGGGACCCAATTGAGACGCCGAAAAGAAAAGGGACCTATTTGAGATTCACGCCGAAAATAGGGACCTACCGAGACATTAAACCTAAATTTAACATTCTTGATGCAAGCACTCGTCTTGAAATTATTCCAAGTCAAAGAAGCTAAGATGTTTTAAGGGATGATTATAAAAAAGTAGATGCATCTTGCTGAAATAGGTAATAATATTAATTAATTCTTTTAAAGTCATTTTCAAACATACAATTCATATTTGTAACATTTTTGTATTTATTCAACTCATTTACTCATGCACCATCCTAACATAAAAACTACAAAAAAAATTGCATTCTCTCTTCATCGACGGTTTCTTTTGTCGTGATAATTCTTCCTCACCTTCTTATGTGGACATATAACAGTTTTTGGTGTATCTCTTTCTGCTGTACTTTATTTTGATGAATACTTACCAAATATTTACTTTATCTTTCTTTCCGTTATTTAATTTTGGATAGACAAAATTTGTTTAGTATATAAGAAAGGGGAGGAACAATCATAAAAAAAAGAAAATATTAAATTTGAGATCTATCCATCATCTGGTTTAAAATTTAAGTATGAGTTAAAAGTTTTAATGGAATAATAATGAACAAATTGAATAGTATATAAAAAAGAAAATATGTAAATCATTGAGTTTTAAAGTTTTATATTGAAACTAATATCGTTAAAAAAAAGGCATTAACGACGGCCATGATCCCTCGGAAACAGTCAATGAATTCCAATGGAGCTCCCAACCCACCACGTCGCGATACGCAACCCAAAACCACACCGATAGTTGGGACAAGGATGACTGCAAAGCACTCCTCCAAGGTTTCGTGCTCAGGATTGATGCAAAGGACAAGGGTTTCGTGGGCAAAGGGTTTCGAGCAAAGGAGGAGGGGGGTTTTTGTGGCTATCTTCTTCAAGAGGGACGAAGATTACTACTTTGGTGCGAAATGAATTTGAGAGCGGGAATACCCTATTTTTGGCCATAATTCATCGAAAACATTATTGATGGCTCACAAGCCTTCGGTAATTTATGTCAACAACTCAATACCGACGGCTCAAAGGTCGTCCATAATATACCGTCAGTAAATTGGACTTTTCCTGTAGTGTATATTGAAACTAATATAGTTAAAACAAGAATGTTTAAGAGCCCTTTAATTTGAAGTTTAAAAAAATTGTCTATCAAAATAATGTTTATTAAAAAGACCGTTTAGGATAACTCGTTAAACGTTATATAACTAAACAATATTCCAAACACTATAGAGGATGAACTATTCAAAACAATATAGAGAACATGTTATCCTAAACTTTGTAGTAAACAAATTATTCTAAACGTTATAGTAAACCGTCTAATGGTTTAAATCTGATGTACAAATAGTCTTTTTGTCTATTGTGTAATCTTTCTTTATTTGTGCATATCCAATCAAGGAGAAAGTACTTTTTAAAGTTCTGTGATGATTCATAAAAGCGTTAAGAAATACAAAGACATTATATGAATGTTTCCTTGATGCTTTCTCTTTGACCAATCTATACAACAACACAATTTTCTCTACAAAACACAGTAGCCTTTGACAACATAAAAAAGGCTACAACAACTCTATCAAAAGTTAATGCTCTAGTGTAACAGATCTTTTTCAAAGTTCTCTATAAATAAAAGGTTGCATGAAGAAGATAAGAACAACAATTTTGCACATATTCTTACTCTGCTAAATTATTTTCGTTTGTATTTGTTTTAAAAACACATAGTTGTTTTTGGATAATCAAGAGTGATTTAAAACACTTGGTTTATTTAACTCGTGAGGAGTTTAACAGTTTTAGCAAATTGGGCTAATGTAAACTAGGAGTGGTGAAACTCGTTGAAAACTTATTAAAGTTAGTGGAACCTTATAAGAGTACTTAAAGGAGAACTGGACGTAGCTCAAATTGAGTGAACTAGTATAAAAACGAGCTTTTATCTTTGCCATCTTTTACTGTGGTCCTAAACGGGTTTAGAAAATCATCAAGTGTTTAACATTATATGTATATTGTCTAACCCCTTCAAAAAAACGTCTAGTACTACTTGCGAAAAGTTTTCAAACTGTATTCAACCCCTCCTCCCTTTCTAGAGTTTGCCTATTATTTCAATAACAGATCTTTTATATTAATAACCCATGGAATTTCCAAAGGTGATAAATCTTTTCAGTATATTTTAATGAAATTACTCAACACATGGAAGTAAATTCTTTTTTTTCCTTTATTTAGATTAAAGAGTGAAATAAGAGACAAAAAAGAAAACAAAAAGTGAAATGTTAAATGGCTTTCACTCCTAAATGTATAACATCCTAATTTAGTATTGTTAAATATATTATTTTTATCTTATCTTTATATTTTATCTTTAGTTAGTTTGTTATAATTCCATATTTGTATTTTGGGCTTAACACATATTTCTTCTATTATAAATATAGTTTCTTATGTATATATTCAACACAAGGGAGATTAACCTCATACATAGTTTTCACTATATTGAACATAGTATCAGGGCCTAACACTCTTTTAAGAAATTTTTTTTTTCGCCTCTACCACTACACCTGTCGCTGCCGACGGCGTTGCCGTTTGTCACTATCACCATCGGAGTTCTTGTTTTGACCAGTACTGGCTAAAAGCAATAAACTATGGTAGACTAAGTTGTTATAAATAACGGATGATGGCCTCCAGGGATTAGATTTCCATTAGTAACGGATAAGGCATGTAGTGACGGACAACGATAAACTGCAGAGACTAGATTGGATCACACAAAAATAAAATCCCCCTCATGGCGAACAACGAAAATGATGGCGCATAAATGAGAGATAATAAAGGTTGAAGATCTGGATCTTCAAAAAAATGGTCTCCTTTAGTTATCAAAGCACCTAGAAATAGAGTCCCCCATGGGAACGTCAGTGGACAAAGGCAATGAACAATGGACAATAGTGTAAAGACACTATAAAGAACTAAAATTAAGAGAGTAAGACTGAGGTACTCAGACACAGGTGTTGAAAGACAAAATTCTTAGTTGAAGTTTCACGGTTGTCCACCGTTGTCCAATATTATTCTCCATAGATTTTAGGATTTCTCTTTCCAATTTGTCTGTGGCTTCTTCCACTATTGTCTCTTCTGACCTCTCTTCTGTCACCAATGCATTTGCCTTATCCATATATATTTTATCTCCAATGGAAAAGATGTCTTTTGTTATTTTATTTATAGTAATGGTGGCTCTTGAACAATGGTCTCTTTATCAACCAGATGT